CGTGTGTGTGAATGGCTGGTGGAGTGAAGGTGTGTGTGTGTTGGGGGGAACAGCTGGTTTGTGCCTGTGTGTGTATCAATGGGTGTGAATGGGCTGGCTGGTGTTCCATGTGGATGTTGCTGGGGCGTGAGTGTGACCCAAGCATTTGGGAGCTGGCGGAGGCTGGCTTCAGAAGTGGAGTGGAAGAGATGAACGGGTGAATATGGATGTTGGCAGGCGGAACTTCGTGATGAAGTTGCTAGAACATTGGTTGATGGATACGCCTGGGTTGAAGCCAGTTGACAGCAGTGGATGAGCTCGCCCCTTAGTTGTTGTTTTTTCTTCTCTCTTTCTCCTGCACGGCCCAATGCGTCCCTTTCCCCAGGGGGATGTGAGGGACTAGAAGGCAGGCATCCTGATGGAGCTGAACCAGGCCATTGTCTCCACTGAGGATACTCATTTAGCCTCTTTTCCAAAAGCAATAAAAGAATTTTCCGGAATGGTTTTGAAGTGTTGTCATGTTTGTCAGGGGCTGTCACGGAATTATCTTCCCCATCCCCTCATTATATCTGGGGCCCAATGCCTGGGGTAGGTCTTTGTGAAGTCATGGGGGGCCCTGTGAAGTCATAGGAATTGGGAACATAATATTTCTCCATGCATCTGTGAGGGAGTGAGCTAGACATTGTGGGTTCCCTGTCTGAGCTCCTAAGCAAGTATATTATGTGTCGTGTTAGACAGACAGAGACACAGGAAGCCAGTGAGTCCTGGTACCATTTGGAGAGGGTTGGAGTTGGGTACCCAAACACTATGGCCACCCTGTAACAATAAATGAGATTTGCTCCTTCCCTTCCACCACTGCTCTTCACATTTGTTTGCCTCGCCTGAAGATTCAGGGGAACCCAGCCATTTTCTGGCACAGCAGCTCATTCTCAGAGACCTGGCAAGCCTCATCTTCATCAACACCATGAGCACTTCATCGACAGCTCCTTGCAGAGTACAAGCGGGGAGAAAATTTGCCACTTCAAAGAAGCTTACAGTCCAACCTCTCATGAAAGTGCCACAACTGAGGAAATGGAGATGGGCAATGATTTGGAGATGAGCGTACATTAAAATTCATGTGGATCCATGCCATGGATAGATGGCAAAAATACACTGGTACTGCAAAATCTGCTGCTTGATGGCAGTGGCTGCCTCTAGTGCAGTGATGGTGAACCTTTTTGAGCACAAGTGCCCAAACTGCAACACAAAATCAACTTATTTATTTCAGAGTACCAGTACTGCAATTAAAACCCGAATGCTGAGGTTTTGGTTAAAAAAAAAAAACCAGCTGCTCCTGCATTGCAAGGTTTAAATGCGTGTTTGTTTGTTTTTTTGTTGTTTGCTATGGGTGGTATTAACAAATAAATACTTACTGGTCCTCCAATCCCCCATTGGGCTAGACTGGTCATGGTCACCATTGCACCCCTCCACTGGACCACTGCATCAGCAGAGGGGAGTGCTTAAATCTGGGATTGGAGGATGGGTAAGTATTTCTCTATGGCGACTTATGGCTCGTGTGTCCACAGAGAGGGCTCTGTGTGCCAGCTGTGGCATACATGCCATAGGTTCGCCATCACTGACCTAGGCTTTGGGAAGCTATGATATCCCTGCCAACTTGCACCATTTTGGAATGTGGTGCCCTTCCTCTAGTGGAGATGCTGGCAAAAGTTGATGGAGTTGTTGGGCAAGGCAGACTTGCATGTGAAACACGTCATCATGGGCATCTGGACTACTTTGGGTTCTGCTCATGCTTGCTTCTCACAGCACAGTTGGAAAAGAAGCATTCCACAACTCCCCTGGTTCCACCCACCCACTTAGGGGGCCTTCTTGGAGATCAAATCACATATGGGATCCACACATCTCCAGATATCACAGCTGCCTTGCAGTGCCTGATGGGGGATTGGCTGCAAAATCTTTCATTCTTACAACATTTTGTGTTGAGATTTCAATATGAATATGTATTAAATACAAATGTTGTATAGTTTAATGTAAAATGGCTGATTTACCTGAGTGATTATACTGACTGTATTCAGGTGTAGTTACCAAAGTTTGAGACTTAATGTTGTACAGCTGTGGTACATGATGAAACTTTGTGTAACTGAAAATGAAGTAATGTATTTTCTGATTGGTCCCAGAACTGTACATAAGTCATGTGTAAAGGGGACATTTTATCTGCTGTAAGTCAGATCACTTTTTTTCCTATGCTGTGTGTTGTATCATGTCATGTTATGCTGCTAGATGAGTGTCTATTCTCTATGCATATATGAAAATAGACTAAGTTGATATTTTACTCTCTCAGTGTCATAGTGTCTATGAAAACTAATATCTCCTTACTCTGCTAATCTTATGAGAATACACGTTTAACCAAAATTTTCAACATTTTGGTTCAACTGGATTTAAGCTTACCTGTTTACATGTTAACCTACTCTGTTGTGGGAAGTTCAGTCAAGAGTGACCATAATATTTTAACTAAATTATGCAACCCTGCTGTTAAAAAATATTCTTCTTTCAACCACCACCTCAAAATGCTCACATTTTGGAGAGATGCAAGTTGGCTTTCAAAGGAATCCTGTCCCCAAATAGGGCAGTCCTCTAGCATGGAGAAGTTGCTGTTAGATGATATTGACCGCTCTCCCTCAGCAAGCAAGAGATTTCAGAGTGACTCTGATACACATACATAGAAAAAGGAGAAATCTTTGATGCATGGACAACTCAGGCAACACTAATCTTTGTTCTGCCCAGAAGAATGGGAGATTATTTTGGGTTCAGGGGATGTTGTTTCACAGCACACACAAATCTATGGAAGAAATCAATCAGCAGATACATTTAATGATTACTGACAGTTCATGAATTTTTGTTCAGTTCCTCTGTAACATGAAGCCAAGCACTCTTTATTTGTCAAAGAAAAACTGAGCAGCCACATAGCAAATAGCCTCCTGTCCAAATTATACAAGATATTGTTTTGTTTTGTTTTGATTCAGCATCACTGGGAATCAAGAGATTTTGGTCTCATTCTCACCTCTCCTCTCCTCTTTTCTGGGTCCTCCAAATCTCCCAGTCTAATGTTGACTTCTCCTGAATGGTCCATGGGTTGATTGGATGGAATGGCTCTCCTGGTGGGGGAGGGTTGTTCCTGTGAGGGGAGCAGTCCTGCTGTCCGAGGCGGGTTGTCTGCCCTGTCTCCATATCTCCAGGAGGAGTGAACGCTGGTTCCAGCAGCAGAGCCAGCTGGAGATACAGACTAGGAAGGAAAAGGAGTGCATGAAAGGGACCCAGGACCAGGAGTACCTGGAGCACAGGGAGTGCATAAGTGGGATGGAAGGAGTGGAGCCAGGGTTAAGAGAGGAGGAGGAGGAGGAGGAGGCAAGGACATAAGGGATCGGGGTGGAGGTCACTTGGACCAGGCTTCCTATGCTGACCGGAAATAGGAAGATGGGGAAGCCTGATCCAAAGAAAGTGAGGGTGGGGGATTGCTTGGGTCCCACTACCTTTGTCTTTCCATGCCTGGCCTTGCATAGGAAGAGGAAGGGAGCCTGACAGAAGCCAATCCCCTACCCCTGATGTCTTTTCAAAGGCTGTGGGGGCCGGGGCTTTTTTTTTTTTTTTTAAGATAGCTGCATGGGCCATCTTTAAAAAAAATGTCCCGATGAATTGATTTGTGGTTCATCGGGCCACTGGGGGGGGGCAACTTTTGGCAATTCATCTCCTTCTCTAATAAAGAACTTTTGCACAGCAGAATAGTTTTCTGTTTATTTACTAAAGCCCTCTCTAAGAACTTCCCCTTTACAGGGAGGAAGAACCACTAGTGCTGCAATTCAATCAGCCGAGGCCTTTGGAACATGTGTTTTAGATGGTGACAGAAACTTTGCATTGACTTCTCATAGAATTTAGTGAGCCACCAGGTATTGAATGCCTGTTGTCAGAGAAACCATAATTATCAGTGGAACCTTTATCCACTGTTACCATCTGTTTGCCAGTGGAAACTGATCCATTAGGGCAAATGGGTTACTGCTGTGCCTGAGGCTCCTGTTACATCCCACCAACAAGCCCACTTGGGCCTACCTCCATGCCAAATACAGAGAACTGAAGGGGTTAAATTAATACAAATAATATATATATGTTAGCCTAACCATAGCCACCATGCTTTCTGTAAATTGCTTTGCAACGTGAATGTGATGATGTCTGCAAACCTTCCTTTCCTCCTGTTCCTCTCCACATCCCTTGCCTCCCCCTTCTTATTTGAAACTTATAAAAGTATATTCTGTAATGAGCGCGGCTCGCTTCTTCTTCGCATGTTTCTGCGAGTGAAGTTTGTGACTATTTGCTTGCCTTCAGCTGAAAATAAACAAATATCTATTGGATCTCTCTGTCTCTGACTGATTGATTAATGAATTAATGCAGGCAAAAAGTCAGGGAATAGTCTTGGCACCCTTCAGAACCACGACCCTGCCTGTGTCGTCCTCCTGCTGAACTCCTAGCCTTATTGCACTGGGGGCTTGGGGAGGAGAGACGAGGGAGAAAGAGAATGAATTTGAGTGAATAAGTAAAATGCCGATCTTTGAAATGGGACTCTGAAGGAAGCAGAAGCAGGTAAGGACATACGTATCTAACTTGCAACATTATTTTTTTCCTGCTCTTCAGCTGAATTGTGCAGTAATTATTCTGTACAGTGGTTGTGTGAATGCCTCTATGTATGTGTGTTATTACATAATTCCCTGCCCATTCCCCTCTCTGTGTTTGTGCTTGAATACCTTTTTTTTTTGCCTTTGTTGCACTCATGATTACGTGCTGTGCCTTCTACCCCATTCACTACCACATGCATTGGCACCCACTGTTCCTTTTTGGCAGCATTAAATAATATCTGTCTCTACTTGGGATCTCTAACTGATTAACTAGCACCAGATTGCATGAATGTTACTGAATAACTCACCTTTCTATATAAGAGGATATATTTGTTTTTGTGAAACAAACAAAAACCCAGTTACATTTAGTTACATGCTGGATATAATCTGTAACAGGGGCTTAGTTGGAACCTTTCTTTCCACCTTCCCTCTCAGACCATCTTTTAGATCTCCAAGGAGACACACACAGAGGGAGAGAGATGGAGGTGGTTCAGGCAGGACCTCTGCTCCTCTTCTGCTTGCTCATCTCCATAATCTTCTTATCCATAAAAATGCACAAAAAGAAAAGCCAGTTGCCTCCAGGGCCCACACCCTTGCTGTTTCTGGGGAACTTCCTTCAAAAAGATGTCCTGCCCATCAACAAGCATTATCCAAAGGTGAGCCCATTTCTTTTCCTGCTTCTCTCAAATTCCCTGTTCATGTCTAGCACAAAATTATACACAAATTTCCTGAAATGGAAAGATGGATAAAGGAAAGACATAAATCTATTTATGACTTCTTTTTTTGAAAAATTACTCCTCTCTTCTTGGTCAGACTGGAGATGATTTCCGAAATGATCTAGATCTCATTATTATTTTCCTCCTCCTTATAGTTACTTGCTTGTTTTTGTGTTTGGAGGCTGGGAAGCTGATTGTAATATTTATAGGGTGCAGAACATGGAAACTGCATATGAAAAATTGAAATAGCAGGAAAAGGTCTCTTTCCACAAGTCCTAGGCATATTCTGTCCTAGATCAGCTATTTGACCACATATTTTAGTATGTTTTTGGCTACTGGTAGTCTCCCCTAGGTAATATCTGATGCCAGTCTCATGAATAGAAGCTAGCCAGCCAGAATCATGCCCTTCAAAATACTGGGTGTGTGCTTCTGGTGTCCATTTTGTATATTCTGGAGAATTCTTCCTTACTTCAACAGGCACAGGAACGCTGCATGAAATTCTAGGAACTAGAACTCAGTCTGTAAGTTGGGGAAGGCTGTTTCCCCCAAGTTCATAGAGGGCAGAAGGTGGGGCCCCACAGAAATCTCTAAGTTCTTTCAGATGATAGGCCCATATTTTCTCAAGGTCCAGATTGGTAGCTTATCTCAGAACTTGAGAAGGAGCCACAGGGACTTTCCTCCTGCCTATCCCTTCTTTTCTGCTTAGGTTGTGTGGATCTCAGAGGTGGAGCTGAGTGGCAAAATGGAACTGAAGGCCTCTCAGTAAATGATCTGGCAGTTTTACATATGTGTTCACAGATCCTCTCCCTCCAGACAGTTTTGTCATCACAGTATTAAATATTGGATCAAGAATACATTTTAACCAATATCATTGAGTTTATTAGACACTACAAACTACTGTTAATTGTAAAAATGCAGAGAATTACTTCTTCCGGGGACGAGCTTGAAGCTACAGAAAAATGAGAAATATATCTGTTTGCACAAGATGTCCTCCAAACATCAGATATAAAGAAAATCATATGAAAATGTACATCAGAAGCTCTTCACATCTCTGTAGAATTCCTCTAAGGGTGCCCTTTCACTCTTGGAAAGAATTTGACTGCAGATGTCTGGCTTCTTTCTTCTGTCTTGCTCCCAAGTTGCTCACTATCTTTCTGCATCCTCTGTAGACCAACTACAAAGCGAGAAAGTCCTGTGTATCTTATTAATTTGGTCTTGGAACTTTGCCAGTCATTTCTCCCAGGAATCTTCCCAAATTGCTTCTTGCTTTTCAAAGCATTTGTGGTTTTTCCAAAATATTGTCTCTCTAGGAGTCACTGGGGAAACACAGAGGAAAACTTTTGGTTTACATTCATTTTGGGGGTCTTTTGAGAGGACTTCCCCTACTGTAAACCCCCCCCCCCGCAAATACTAGAATTTATTAGGTTCTTTTGTTTCAGTTTTCCTCATTTAGGTCTCTGGCATTATTCCTGGTTAAGCCCTGTAGAACTCTCTAAGATTACTCCACAAGAGTTAAAGGGCCAAGGAACAGACAATAATCTGATCCAAAACTAAGTAGTATAATAATGCATGAGAAAAAAATAAGGCATAATCAGACCTGTGCTATAGGCATTTCACATCTTCAAGTTACACACTAGCAGTGTTATATAGATTAAATTATTCATCATAATCAGGAAACAGATGAGATGAGCAATGGAAGCTTCCTATATATTATCTAATCATCACCATTCACCAGACCTATGTAGGGTGGCACTACTTTATTTTATCACATCATAATCATCACCATCATTATCAAAGCATCAAGTAATCTTTCAGGCACAAGAGAGGATGATGAAATATCAATAAGGCAATTTTGTGTACAGGGATCAAATGGAGGCAGAATGAACATGAAAACATGAATGAGATATGATAAGATTTGTTACCAAATTTTTTGGAATCCCAAAGCGTTCCTATTTCAGCGGTATCTGTTGTAAAATCACAAAAGACTCCACAAACACTGCACAGACATTGACCACAGCCACCAGTCTCTCAGCCATGGCATCAAGCAGTCAAACATAAAACAGCAGCTCCTTCCTGCACCATCACTCAAGGTGTGCTTCACCAACCATTTTCTGGGATCCCACGGTAACATTTTCAAACTCACAGCCACAAATTTCATCCTGCCAGCATCAGGACTTTATCTTCCAGGAAAGCAAGCAACATTGTTTCTGCATCCCAAGTCCTAAGATACCATTTGCAGCTCCTTCAGCATTCTTCTCACAAGCAGAGGTCAAAAATGTGTGTGTGTGTCTGTGTCTGTGTGTGTGTGTGTGTGTGTGTGTGTGTGTGTGTGTGTGTGTGTGTGTGTGTGTGTGTGTGTGTGTGTGTGTGTGTGTAGGTAGTGGAGGCTGGGTGGGTCTCCCTGGACTCCAGCCTCCAGTTGTTGTTGGCACTCTCCTTTATTAGGGTTGGGTCACAATATTCAGTTGGGCGCCTTGTAGTTTTGTGTATATGTGTGTGTGTGCGTGGTGCATGCGCACGTGTGCACGCACGCACGCACACACACACGTGCTCTGTCCTCAGTTCGGTCTCAGTTCCACTCACTGGGCAACCAGTGTCTCCAGTCTGAGGCTGATGTTGAGTTTGCAACACTGACTTCAGTCAATTCATGCCCTTTAAGGATGGCTAGTCCCCAGGTCCCAGCAGCTCATCCCACCCCTGAAGAATCTGCTGCAGCTTCTGGTTGTGCCTTTTCCTCCACATGTGCCACTTCTGGGTCAGGGCTGGCCTGTTGGATCAGGGCTGAGCAAAGCACCTGTGGTATTATTATGAGAGTCCAGATGGGTGACAACTGGCCCTTCTTCCCTGTATCCTTTACCCAAGCCTAAACATACCCCTTCACCCACCTCTGGGGCCTGGAACAGCAGCAGCAGCTGGTCTTCACAGAGGGGCACAAAAGATTGGAGGCTTCTGCATTGTCCTCCAATTCTGAGTTCATCGAGGAGTACGTGGCTCCCAATCTAGTTTATGGCCAGTTGCTCTGGTGGTGCTTGGCTACAATCCTACACTCCCTCAGTTTATGACAGGTTAACTTTCCTACTCTCTCGCCCACATTATTTTCACAGTTGCTGTCCTCTTCTGAATGCAATTCCGGTCCACTACAGCCTTAAATTCTGGGTTTTTTTTCAGCATGCTGTTAGACACAAAATATACAGTTGGAAAAAATTTGTAGTAGGAAACTGGTAGTGATCAACTCCAAAGTAATGGGAGAGGTGTAATAGCAAGATATCAGGGTTTATCTCAGGTTTCTTATTCCAAATGCTTCATTTGTGTCCAAATGCATGCTAAAAAAACCCTCCGCAACACTCTGCTTTAAAGGGTTTCCGGATATCATAACTCTTCCAAGCCTCAGTGCTTGTTCTTCTGAATCTACAAGACTAGATGGTTTTCAAAGCTCAGACAAGCCATGGTGGTGCCACAATATGCAGTGCAGGATATTTCAGTAGGTTTGTCAGATGGGAACAAATGATTCCAAGGTATTTCCTGCAGGCTGTGCTGGTGGTTCAGATTTGGGCTCGATCTGGTCTGATTTAGAGGAAAGAACAGAAAGGAAAGAAAGGGCAGAAGGGGAGGAAAAGAAATCTTGTCCTGTCTGATGGGACGCTGTTAAAAAACCCCCTAAAGAAATTCAGGCAAGGGCATTCACATATGCTGAATCGATTCATTGGAATCAGCCCCAAAATAAATGAACTCCTGGCAGGAGAGCAGCAAAACCCACTCCCCTAGCAGAGTAGTCTGTGCGTGTATGTGTGTACCCTTAATTTTGTTATTTCCACCTCCCAGAAGAACATAGATATTATTATGAGTGGGATCGAGCCCTTAACTCTCACACATTCATTCTCATGATGTCTTTCTATCTCCATTCATGCTTTGACTCAGAAGTAGGAAAGGCTGAGAGTTCAGCTGGAGAGGAGCACAAAAGGGGTTCTCTCTTCCCATCTCTGCCTAAGGAGAGTGGGCAAGAACCATTAGATGGGGAAGAGTGTAACATTGCCTTCCTTAGACTCCCTTCCCTTGTGGGGATTATTCAGCTGGTAGCTTGCTGCTTCTAAGCGTCCAAAGTCACGAGCAGCATTCCCAAAGCCTGCCATCAAATACAAGATACTCTAATTACCTGGTGCAATAATGAGCAAAAAGGAGATTTTGCTGGTTATTAACCAGCTTTGTCACTGCTTCTGCCTTCAGCTTGTCAAGAAATATGGCCCTGTCTTCACTGTCTGGCCAGGGCTGAATCCTGTGGTTGTGCTCTGTGGATACAAGACGGTGAAAGAGGCTTTGGTGGATCATGCAAAAGAATTTGATAGTCGTCCTGTAAACACCATCGGTTATCAACTGACTAAGGGTTACGGTATTTTTTCTTATTTCATTTTATTTTGTAATATTTATGTTTATTTTGAATGAACATGTTAATATCTGGGGAAGAGTATAAAATTGCCTGTTATTTATTTATTTATTTA